CCAAGAACAAATGAAACCAAATCTGTTTTTTCATCATTAAGGAGGTTTTTTTTTACTTTAACCACCAATTTCCTTAGACGATAAACCTCTGTGTCTATGAATGCACCTTCTTTTGTCAGGATCTTTACATCCTTCACGAAAGCAGAAACATCTTTAAAATAATCCTCAGCCTCTACGTTTGGTAAAAATTTTGTTTTCCTTAGAAATTTATTGATTCCCTCAGCCGTATATCTTTGTGTTTGACTTTCATTTTCATTTTGCGATGAAAAGGAATAAACTGAAGAACTGGAATCGGAAGAATTTCTTTGCAGATACACACGGGACGTCATTCACACGGGAATTCAGCTGGCCAATCAGATCGCTGTATGCAAATACACCAGCTCTATTGCTAAAACCATAGATATATACACTAGATGTCGCATAGGGACCCTGAGCATGCGTCAATAGCGCCGCCACATTGGTACAGTGCTCCCAGGACAAACGTCATTCAACCGCAATAGTCAAGACAGTGTTATTACGTGAACGTCTTTAGCGCTGTCTACGGGTGTAGTAACGAGCAAACAAAGAAAACAAAGCACAAAGCCAGAACATTTCATAGGTAATATTCAGTTTTTTTCTGTTTTTGTATGTTCTGAACTTTTGTGCTTATCAGGTAACGTTATTGATGATGACAGTCACTTACTGCATTCACCATAAGGCAAAGCAGCTCCAACTCGCACTAAACACTCTGCTTATGCTAGTGTTGTTGAATAAAATCAGCAAACAATGCGAAAGAAATATGACAACAAGATGCTGCGCTGCCAGAAACTTGTATTATTGTCGGCTAGCGTTAGTGAAAGAGTCGTTCGGGGCATTCATTCACAAACCGTCAGTATGAGAAGTGAAAGCAGGAGAGGAGCTGTGTTTCAGGACATGATTAGATCAGATTTAACAGGGAGGGTGAATAGTACATTTCTGTACACACAAACACAAGCTTTTTGTCAGGAATGCCCGTGCGGTCACTGATCCATCAATGTAGAAAAGTGATGTTAAATTGTAATTTTCGTAATTAGAAAAAAAAAATTACATACTAACATCCAGGAAAACTCCCGATCATAGATATATGTGTATATGTGTATATCTCTGGCTTTGCATGGCCACAGTCCTCCACTGTACCTTGGTCCCGCATTCATTTCAAAGGAGCGCTACCCTGTACCAAGATGGCGGCGCTATTGAGGCATTCCGTCCAATAGACAATAGGCCAGGCGACATCTAGTGTATAAATCTATGGCTAAAACGGCTTGCCATACTAGCTCAGATAGTGCCAAATTGCTGACTAATTTCATTAGCTGAGGCTACTTTTGACGTCAAGCAACTTCACCAGCGCCCTCACTAGCCTTGAGGCTGAAGCCCCGTGTGAACAATAGTATCACATCGGGCGTGTGTCGGTAAAAAGTATCAGGAATGCATCTGAACATTTCCTTGTGTAATTCTAAATTACAAAAACAATAGTTGTTATATCTGCTACACACAGTCAAAATTCTTCAGGACCTAAACACACTGAAAAAATGATGTGTGCAATTTCAAAACTGTTGCAAGCAATTTATTTGTGCTGAATTTAAACAAAGATTCAACTTAATTTGTTTGTTTAAATTCAGCCCAGATAAATTGTTTACAGCCACTTAACGTAAAAAAGTGAGTAAATCCAATAAATCATCTTTGAATATTTTTTTCAGTGCACTAATCAAACCCCACTGACTCAACCCACAAATCACTTTTACAAATCACAGAAGGTTTAGAACGGGGGAAACATTCAGTTTGTGAAACTTGACTCAGTACAGCAAATAGTAAATGTAGTTAATACATATTTAAAACTGTAATACACAATACTCCATTTAATACTGTATGTAATGTAATACTAACCTCTGCAGGTGGATTATATATTGCATTTTCTATATTTCGATGATAAATAACCATAACAATCACGCAACAACACCTCACCTGATTGCATGTACATTTAATCTCATTGTTTGTGCTTTAACTTTGTTTTCTCTTGAAACCTTTTCTCCTGTTTTTACAGGGTTTATTCCCTCTTCCTTTGCCTACATGTGTTCTACTTTGTCTTGATCGTAAAGCACAAAGACACTATATGTGTGCATTACTAACAAAAGCATGTTTTGAATCATGCTAAATTTGGTCTGTAACACTTTACAATAAGGTTGTATTAGTTAATGCATTTACTAACATGAACAAACAATGAACAACACATTTATTACAGTATTTGATCATGATTTGTCAACATTAATGTAAATAAAGGCCTTTTTGGTTAGTTCATGCATTAACTAATGTGAAAAAGCAGGAATTTGGATGTTAATAATGCATCAGTAAATGTTGAACAGTGATTAAATGCTTTAGAATTATAGTTAATTATTAGTAAATACATTAAATAATGAAATCTTATTGTAAAGTATGGCTATTAACACCACACACAAGTAGCTATAAAAGTTTGCAATAAATAAATTTGTGACACAGAATGAAGAGAAAACGGGAAACAAGAGAAAATAGTACATGCAGTAGACCTGATCAACAACTATAATGTGATGTTATATTAATAAATGTAAACCCTTAAACTTGAAGTCTGATAAATGTAGTGGGTTTTTTTCTGTGTGATTGGGGACAGGTTTGGCTTGGAAGAGCTATAGTGTAGTGTGTCTTAAAATATATTATTACATGGCTGTCTGAAATAAAATCTGTTATTCACAGATAACAACCTTTTAATAACATCCACTGCTCTGTAACTGACAATCACCTTGACTGTCAGTGTATATTCATGTCCATATACAGTACATCCACATTCATGAGTCACACTGCAGTTTTTGACTGTTTGGCGCTCTCTTGTGTCTGAATCATAGATATTTATGTGTATCTATGTGTCTGAATAATAAGCTGCGCTTGATTAATGTGCAGCACCTCATCTGTACTAATCTATAACTCCACACTCAGAGAAATACATTCCACACGCTTATCTAAAGAGCACAAACATTACTATTGTGTATCGTGTGTAGATTATAGTGTAGTACAGTGTAATGCTATATGAAGTGTAGTGTGTGGATTATAGTGTAGTGTAGTGTAGTGTTCTGTAGTGTAGTGTATAGTGTGTAGATTGTAGTGTAGTGTAGTATAGTGTGTAGTCTAGTGTAGTGTGTGTGGTGACATGTGTTGTCATGCTCCTGCAGTCAGTATAGTGTAGTGTGTGGTAGTGTGGAGTGGTGTACTGTGCGATACTCCAGCACCAGCAGTCAACAGACAGCGTGTGTAGTGTAGTGAAGTGTGGTGTGTAGATTATTGTGTAGTATTATGTAGTGTAATGCAGGGGTCCTCAACCTTTTTCGCGCCAACTTCTTTCTCCAATTTTTGAAGGCCCACCTCTATATATATACAGTTGAAGTCAGAATTATTAGCCCCCCTTAATTATTTGCCCCCGTTTTATTTTTCCCCCAATTTCAGAGAGGAGATATTTTCAACACATTTCTAATCATAACAGTGTTCATAACTCATCTCTAATAACTGATTTATTTTCTCTTTGTCATGATGACAGTAAATAATATTAGACTAGATATTCTTCAAGACACTTCTATACAGCTTAAAGTGACATGTAAAGGCTTCACTAGGGTAATTAGGGTAACTAGGCAGGTTAGGGGAATTAGGCAAGTTATTGTATGATGATGGTTTGTTCTGTAGACTTTCTGGAAAAAATAGGGGCTAATAATATTGACCTTAAATGGTGTTTAAAAAATTAAAAACTGTTTTTATTCTAGCCGAAACAAAACAAATCAGACTTTTTGCAGGAGAACAAACATTATCAGACATACTGTGAACATTTCCTCAATCTGTTCAACATCATCTGGGAAACATTAAAAAAAGAAAAAAAAAATTCAATGGGGGGTGAATAATTTTGACTTCAACTGTACATTTTATGACGTTATTTTCATGATAGGTCAACCTAAATGTACTCTTGATCTAAATCAAAATCAAGAAACAATATTTTTGCATTAAAATTAGCATGTTTTTACATAATTGTGATGAATTACACTGAAGTTATATGCCAAATACAAAAAAAAAATTCATTATTTAGCATGAAAAACATGTTTTATTTTACTTAACAAATGGTACTGGAAGCATACTTTACATTTATATTATTTAAAATGGTTCAATTTAAAATAATTTATCAACTTTACAATGATGAAAAATTCCTGTATCTGTACAACATAATTTGGGAAATATTAAAAAAAAGAAAAAAACAATTCAAAATCAGTTTATATATTACATTTGTTGTGCCTTATTAGCATTAATAATTAAATTTATTTAAAAAATTATATATATTTAAAAAAAAATACACAGATTCAAAGAGAAGCACAGATCAACAGGCAGATTGTGAGAAACTTCTGCTTTAAGCTGAACTGACTGAATATCCCCTATTAAATATCTACTATTCACAAATATACAGACAAATGTAAAATACAGTAAAACAGCCTGAATCTGTTGAAATAGGACGCGATGGCGGTTGAGTTTGCAGCTGGATATTATTAAGAGAACAGTGAACAGCTCTGCCAGAGCGTGTCTGAAGCTCATATGTTATTATACAGTAGATGGCAGAAACACCGCTGAGCCTCACTAGATTCTCCTGTATGGGTGCACGTTCGTTATAAATCACTCATAGGACATTCATTTGGACAACTATCTGATATATTAAATAGTTCACGCAAAATACACAAAGAGAGACCTTCACTTTCACTTCACGCATGGTTTGTGAATGAGCAGACTGATGTGTGCTAGCTGCAGACGTCATCATGAGTCTGTTTACGCGGCGAGTTTCAATCATAGAACAGGAGAAAGTGCATTACTTCCATTGTTTTAATATAGTGTATTAATAATGAAACCCAAAAATTATAGTATTATATTAAGAGTTAATTTTAAGCTATAACTCGGCCCACCTGCAGGATTGCTGGGGCCCACTAGAGGTTGAGAATCCCTGGTGTAGTGTACTGTATGATGCTCTGCTCCAGCAGTCAGTGTAGTGTAGTAGTATAGTGTAGTGTGTTATAGTGTAGTGTCTAATAGTGTTGTGTAGTATAGTTTTATAGGGTTATAGTATATTGTAGTGTGTGAAGTTCCAGCATTCAGTGTACTGTAGTGTTGTAGTGTAGTGTAGTAGTGTGTAGTGTAGTGCTCCAGCAGTCAGCAGACAGTCAGCTGCAGGTTTGATGCTGGAGAAACAGCAGCTCTGAATGGCTGCTGCTGAACCCGTGACGGTCATGAGAACAACTCAAGGGCTTTCAGAGAGTCTCTCACACACACACAGATCTTCAGAGCCCTTCAGACCAGCTCAAACACACTCCACTGCAGGTAAGAGCTGCTCCTCCAGCTACAGCTGCTCTCAGATATACTCTATACACTGCTGTTTAGGATAATAGACTGCTTTTGCATGCTGCATTAATCTATACACAGATTAGCTGATCTCCTGCATCCTCAGATGGTGTTTAAGAGAAATCTACATTTGTACATTAGAAAACAAAGTAATTTGTGATTGAATAATGAGTAAAAAAAAAAATCTTTATTATAAATTAAACTATTCTGAATAAATATGTGTAATATTTGATTCATTTATGTATTACAATGTATTTAAACATGAGTATTAAATTAGCGTACATGATTAATGCAGACTTTTAAATAGCTGGTGCTATAGTAGATCACAGTTGTATAGTATCAGATTACTATATTATTAATAAACATATTTATGCATTTAAGTTTGTGAGTAACTTTATAAACATTGAATTAAATTAATTTGATGTAATACTTGCATTAAATTAAAGATCATTTTTTAATGTGAAATTAAACTCATTCTTTTGATTTTTATTCAAATTTTATTGTGTTTTTATATTGAATTATTTTTAGATATTATTTAGATGTATATATATATATATAAAATGTGTAGATCAACATCCAGGCAGACGAGAGTACAGAACTTTTTCAATGTAAATTTAATAAATTAATTTTAATTAAACCCATTTTAAATAATATAAATAATCTGTTGCATGTAAAGTATGCTCTCAGTACCATTTGTTAAGTAAAATAAAACTTTTTTTCATGCTAAATATTAATTTTTCTTTTGTATTTGGGATAAAACTTCAGTGTAATTCATCAAAATATACTTTCTTGATTTTCATTTAGATTAAGAGTACATTTAGGTTGAACTACCATGGAAATAATGTCATAAAATGTACAATTAAAGTCAGAATTATTAATCCACCTTCGATTTATTTTGCTTTTTTAATTATTTCCCAAATGATGTTGAACAGATTGATGAAATGTTCACAGTATGTCTGATAATGTTTGTTCTTCTGGAGAAAGTCTGATTTGTTTTGTTTCGGCTAGAATAAAAGCAGTTTTTAATTTTTAAAACAGCATTTTAAGGTCAATATTATTAGCCCCTTTATTTTTTCTTGATGGTCTACAGAACAAACCATCATTATACAATGACTTGCCTAATTACCCTAACCTGCCTAGTTACCCTAATTACCCTAGTGAAGCCTTTACATGTCACTTTAAGCTGTATAGAAGTGTCTTGAAGAATATCTAGTCTAATATTATTTACTGTCATCATGATGAAGAGGAAATAAATCAGTTATTAGAGATGAGTTATTAACACTGTTATGTGCAGAAATGTGCGGAAGAAATCTGCTCTGCGTTAAACAGAAATTGGGGAAAAAACAGGGGGCTGATAACCTGAATATGTACAGAATTGAATGTTACTGTAAGCGTGTTAAATTCTCATGAGCTTGAATGTAGTGTTTAATTTCAGTGTCCTCTCGTGTTCATATGCTGTGATCGGTGTTTATTCCTGATATATTCAGGTGTATCTGCTGATTCTGGGATCATGTCTTACGGAGGATCAGGTTCAGTGTCTCGAGGAGAATTCAGTGTTCATTTCTCCAGCAGACGAGGAGCAGGACTCATACGAGCAGAAGAGTGTGTGAACATCTACACCTACACACACACACACACTCACGAGCATACTATAACTATATTCAGTAGACGTGAAGTGCATCAAAACTATTGTCCAGTCAGTAAACACTGACTACTGTAGACCATAGTCATGACTATATGAATCTTAACAACATGTGTGTGTGCACGTAAATATGTTTATGTATGTTAATGTATTTATGTTCATATATTTATATGTGTGTGTGT